GACTGATCTGTCTTTGTTTATATCTTTCACACTCAACAACGGCCTCTTTAATACTCTTACAACCCAGAGTAGAGAACTAAAGCAAAGTTCTTATAAAGTCAATAAACACACAGTCACGCTATTTGAAGAGGATGAGAAAGTACCTCATAGGACAGACTCTTCCATGGCACTAGTTTAGTGTAAAAGCCATAAGAGATGTTCATTTTGGGCCTCAGCTTCTGTGAAACGGACACAGCATAATTCACATGTAACAGTTCTGCTGCGGGTCTGACCCGTGACCTAGGTTCTGCTGCAGGTCTGACCCGTGACCTAGGTTGAATGGCATGCCTACTGAAAAAATTCAATTTTTACTTTTGAGACACAGAATAAAATAGATCGGGGTGGGGGGTGGGGGGTGGAGGAGGACATGAACAGAGTTGTTCACTAGTCTCAAGCCTGGGCAAGAGTCTTGGAGCAGACCGGGTAAGGGGGGTCGGCTACGCTTTACACAGATGCAGTCTGGATCCCGGTCCATCGTCCTGGAGCTCTGGAAGAGTATTGATGGTGGACCTGCGTCTAATTTTTCTCTTTAAAAAAAATCACAAAATTAGAACAGAGCTTATGTTCATAATATGGCCTTCACTATACATGCAGAGTGCAAAATCCCTGAGTCGGGTGTTTGGTGACAGAGGGAAGACTGTACATCGGTAGGCGATTATCATCTATAGGCAGAGGATAACTAGCATTGCATCTAGTTATGCAGGGTTAAGAGCACAACGTTGACATCTCAGAATGTGGTCAGATGCTGTTGGTGGCAGTATGGCCTAAAAGTCATTTAAGAAGGGCCGACCTCAGTGGGATTTGTAGTGGTGGAGAGATCTGATTCACCTATGAATACAAGGACAGATGAGGGCTTACAGCGAAGGATCGGGGTGTGTGTGGGGGTCCCTGCATGAAAAATTATCAGGAGGAGGCATCAGGGCTAAGGGAGGATTCCAGCTAACCTGACTTATCAGGATTCTTGCTAAAAGCAGGCCAGGGTGAGAAGGTGTGTGGGTGGGAAAATGGACTCAGCAAGGACTGACCCCAAAGGCTGGGGGCACAGGGGCCTTAGTGGAGCCCGACTACAGTTAAAGCAGGGAGACAGTCTTTGTCAGCCCTTTTGAGTTTGCTAACTCAAACAGTTTACATTTCATTTTTACCGAAGAGACCCCTTTCTCTGACCCCTTCCTCTGGGCATCAATTAGCCACAAAGTGTGTGCCTGGCTGGCTACCATTTGTGGGTGCTTCAAGAGAGCGACATTTTACATTTTCATGGTGTTTTGATCCAAAGCTTGTGCGAACAGCAAGAGGCAGAGGAAGGAAGAGAACAGATGGGCGCTTTCTGTGGTGAGGGGCGTTTCCAAACAAACAAGTATGTTTCACATGGTTCCTTGGTGGTGTACCAGCAGACATTCTGCTTAGCCAAGCTGACTGTGGCAGAAAAATTGTGGTTTACCTTGTCTAGGTTACCTGTCATTAACATTGAGCATTCTTCCTCAGAATCACAGGAAAACTGATATATCCGTTAGTTTCATTACTCTACTTGTGGAAAATTGAGTTAGTTCGAGCTGTGAAGTAGGTACTGCTTCACTGATGTTCGCAGGTAAGTCTGTGATATTGGAGTGATTTTCTGAAACCTGGGCATTTTTTCCTCCCAGTTTCAAGAAGTTGTTGCTGAGCTCAGACTTTCTTACTGGGGCCATAACTGGTCCTGGGTTCTGTTCTTTGCTGGTTCAGAGACATGGTTTCCCCTGGAGGAGTTAGGCTTTTGGAATGTATGTTGCTCTAGGCAAATTCATGAGGACTATTTGTAAACTAGAATGTCCATTTGGTAGCTAGTTATTGAACACTTACAGAAAGTGTACCCTGTACTATTCTCTGGACAAACAAAAATGCATAATAGATACAACATGGTTCTTTCCTTAAGAAGCTGATGGTCTGGATGTGGGTCAGCTAAGTAAATAAATATGTCATACATAGTATGATGGACAGAGTGATCTCATGTCCTGGGCTGCCTAAGACAGGTTTATGCTTCCTGTCCTGGTATGACTATTACAAATTCTCCCTTTCACTTCCAGAATAACCTGAAGGCCACAGTAATAGCATCTGTGATTGTTGGGGGCGTAGACCTGATAGAAAGGAGGGAGAAATCAGCCTATATTCCCAGAGTAGACACTTGAGCTGGGTATTGAAGGAAGTCTGGGCAGTCAAGTACCTGAGGTAAGGGTAGAGAAGTGTGTTCCAGGAATGTGCAAAGCTCTGCAGGCGAAAGGAGATTGTTCCAGAAGCAGCGAGTAGTTGGTTCAAGCCAGGCATTGTTTCCCGGGCATTTCCTGTGATAACAATTCCCTAGGGAATGTGGTGAACACAGAGATTTCCTGGTCCGGTAGGCAATTAGGGTTTGTGTTTTTAAAGAAGTGCTCCCAGATGGATTTGGGGCAGATTAAGGGTCCACAGCTAATTCTTTACCACTCATGGCTGGGGATATAAAAGGACAGGAATAGAATGGAACGAGAGCAGCCAGGTGAAAGCACAAGTCACAGATCTGCCAGGCTAGGGTGAACCCAGGCAAGAAAGTCCTCAGAGATAAACTTGGCTGGGGGACATTTGCAGCAGATCTGTGAGCAATGGGGAGTGCAGAGACCATGTCAGTCATAGTGGGATGCAGAGGAATGACAAGATTAGAGAGCCCTTTGGGGGAAGCATGAACAGCACTTAGTGAACCTGTTATGCATTTACACGGTCATACAATTCCCATGCAACAGAACACTCATGTCAAGTTCAGGAAGCTGGGGGCCAGGCCATGTCATCTGGAGGCCTACATGGTGGGCACAAACCTGAAAATACAAAGAGTTGAATAGTGTTTTGGTACATTACATATGGACCTAAAAAATGGCTCCTGCCTACGTCTCTTCTGTATAGTCTGTAGAACATGCACAGACCTTGTGCTGATCTCTGGGAAGAAGACAGAGTGAATTCTAAAGCAGGGTTTCTGACCCCTGGTACAGGCCAGGGACACTCTGTGGCTGGTTAGGAATCAGGCTGCACAGCAGGAGGTGAGTGGTGGGCGATGGAGGGATGCTTCGTCTGTATTTACGGCCACTCGCCATCGCTGGCATTACCGGTGGCATCAGATTCTCATAGGAGCCTCCAGATGGGACAGTCTAGTTGCAGAAAAACAAACTCAGGGCTCCCACTAATTTTGGGCAGCCGAGTCTGCATTATGGTGAGTTGTATAATTATTTCATCATATATTACAGTGTGAGCATAATAGAAATAAAGTGCATGATAAAGTAATGCCCTTGAATTAGCCAGACGCCTCCCCTGCTCTGGTCCATGGAAAAATGGTCTTCCACAAAACCCGTCCATGTTGCAGAAAAGGTTCTAAAAAAATTGTTCTTAAGTACCCTGACACAACACTTTCTTTTTTCTAGACTTAGGCTAACTCCTGCCCTTCCATTTTTGCTTCTGTTTTTTATCACTATGTAAGACAGTCATGATTCACTAGTAATATACGTGTCAACCCCTTCCAGGGGAGAAGCTCAGTCTCTTGCAGGTTTCAGCTGCGAATTCCCCCTGGGAACCTGCAGCCACCTCCCGCATCTGGGTGACCTCTGGGAAATTCCAATAGTACAAGAAACAGGCAAAGACGATTAAACCCGATGTTTAATCAAGGCGGCTGTCCCCTTGGAAAAGGGTACATTGGTGGTCTGAGAGGAGCAGTCCCTCACTGGATCCCTTCAATAGAAAACGAAGAAAATGAACCAAGTTCCCTTTGCCCGCGAACAGAAAGAAGTTTAATGGGCGGCTGCGGGCACCGGGCCTGTGTGTTGGCTTACTCCTAAGGCAGCAAAGGAAGTCAGGACTCAAAGACTTCCAAGTTGTGAAAAGGAAGCCCGAAAAAGGAGAGTAGGAAACGGATCGGGCTATAATCTCACAGAGTAACCCAGCACCCTCCACCCAAGCCCCGGCGTCGGCAGAGCGCGCACGAGTGCGGTTTGGGGAGGAGCGAGGCGTCTCAAATTGCAGCCGTTGGCCTCTCGCGTGGCGCTGCCCAAGGATCTCCAGTCCTGGGAGTCCCAGGGATGAAGATGGGCGAGCTGTCACCTTCCACGCTGCCAGCTCGCAGGGGAGGAGACCGACGCTAGTCCGCGGCGACCTCGGAGCTTGTTTTCAATCATTGCTTAAGTTCTGCACGATCCAATATCACCAACGCCATTAGGCAAGTCACAGCGGAAAGACAAAATATTGAAAAACAAACAAATAAATAAATAAATAAATAAATACGGACCTGCTCGGCTCCT